CTACCACCACAACCACGCAGACGCTACTACCCCTACGACCACGAGCACGGAGCACGACCACCACCGCCACCACCATCACCACTGGCACTGCGACCGCGACTATAACGAAGAGAGCAAAGGTGATGATGACAGCAAACACCAGAAGAAAAATCCTAGCCCCTCAGCTCTCCCTGTCATTTTAAGTCCTCGGTCCTAAATCCTACCAAAATCGTACTTTAGAACCCTTGCAGAGCCATATTATAGAAACGTTGCACGAGCCTTATGTGGCAAGCGGCTGGATCTTTCACCCACTCGAAGAAAAGAGGATGGGCAGACCTCTCCAGTGCAGGAGAACGAGGTGTCGCATCATAAAGTAATGCCCGTGTTGCAAAAGCACAGTATAATGGCACAATACTCCGGGTGAAGCATAGTATAGCATATCATGTAATATCCAATAGCGTAGACGGAAGCTTGCTGTAGCGGTGTAATGATGAAACTATGAAATCAATGATATCACGCAGTCCAGGAGGGATTTCTCGCTTTTCCTTTCTTGGGCCAAAAATCTTCAGGGTGAGGCTTATTAAATATGGGACTTGAGATTTCAGGCCTCAAGGGCAATATTCTTCTGGGTGGAGATCTGACAGTCCTGCAGGGCGGCCTGGGGACCATCCATATAATGTAGGGGCCGAAAAGAATACCAATACTATTTTGGCGGGGCCCTCATTATATAATGGCATTATAATGGGCCCCAAAACCCTGTTCTAATTACTACTAAGGCCCCTATATTTATCCAGGCAAAAGCTTAGTTCAGTACATCCTGGAAGTAGGTGAGACTGGCATAGTCACAGATGGCAATCTGAGGGGCTGAATCGCCTAGCAACAAAAAATAGATGAAAACCCTACCCAGCCCCTAAGTGATTAGGTTGAACCTTCGCTTTTTGGTTCAGGCTACTGTCGACTTGGTGGAGCCCAAGATCACGGGATATCCTCGGACATCCAACTAGCGACCAAAGTCTAGTACCGGGACCTTAATAATTCGAAGAGGGGTTTGGGGGTATGTTATATTATACGTATCACCCTGAACCCCAAACCTTATCAAAATGGGACAGCAACAAGGGAATGCCTTTGAGGCTCATTCAGACCTCTCTTTGGTGACCCTCTCAAAACTTAGCCCAACGAAGACTGAGGGTGTCGGGCTGAAGAATTTTAGGGATTTATGGCTTTAGGGATTTAGGGTTTTTTTGGGGTTTAGGGTCTTAGGGCTGTAGGGTTTTAGGGTTTAGGGTTTCGGGCCTCAGGGTGTTAGGGTCTGGGACTTGGGTTCAAAACGCTTACCTTGACAGGCTTGGCACGGTCAGTTTGATGACAAAGCTAGACAACAGGATGCCACTCCACAACGGCGCAGATCCCAACAAATCAACCCAGATTCAAACAACTCACCAACAACTCGGCTTAAGCCTAAGCTCCAAATCCTAGGGTCCCTAAACCCTAAACCCTAATACTATTGTGCAAATCCAACACCCTAAATTGGTGTGAAATGACAGAACCTGCCTAAGCACCTACCCGGAAAGCACCACCCCGCTGACCTGATTCCGTAGGCCGCCTCCGCTGCCTGCAGGAAAGCAGAGGAAGAGTGGGGTATACTATATAGGGTTTAGGGTTTAGGGGTTTAGGGTTTAGGGGATAGGGGATAGGGATCTTAATAATTCCTAGAGGGTTGTGGGGCAGACAAAAGTAACTAGAACAATGCTAAAAGCCCCTGACTAGTTATTAGTTATTGACCCCCCCCTCTCCCCCTCGCGCAGATGTAGGCTTTGGGGTGTAGGGCATACCTAAACCCTCCATCTACCCTCTATTGGACCCTAAATACTTGCTCTGAGGAACAGTTGAGGAGCTTCTCTTGGCACTGCACTGAATCGATGAAGCGAATTTCTTGTCAGAGCTGCAGTCCAACGCCCTCCGTCAGTCAACTGTTGCATCCACTCTTCCAGTATTTCACGCTCTCCCTCGCAACGGCCATCTTCTCCGGTGGAGAGTTGAGAGTGGAGGCGAGCTGGGGTCCGATAGTCGGCTTATAGGGTTTAGGGTTAGATCTGGAGAACATCTGGGTTGCACTTTGTGGTTAGCCACGATCCTGGTTGCTGGCCTCCTGGGGCGTGGCTGCCAAACTATTCTCTTAGGCAGCAGGTGGTGTTGAAAAGCTTTCGCGGTCGGTTTAGGCTACGAGCCTTTGAGCCTGCCTTGTGCTCATTCGAAGGCTTCGACGGCCATCTCCAACCGAAGCCACCAAATCCCAAGACCCGTTTACCTAGTGCTTCCCAGCGCCAAAACTTCAACCGTCCAGAATGTTGCTACGTAGCCCGAAACAACTCGCCATGATCAACCAAAACCCAATCAACTTCATAACCCCAAGGAGCTGTGGAAACCGAGTTCCTCCCCCAACAATAACCCTCAGATTCGCTCAAGTCTGATACATGCAGCTACCAACCTCAACTGCCAGCTTGTAGTGGGGACGCTCCTCCGCACCTTGGAGCTCAAGACATCGAGATTTCAGGCAACTTGCGTGGTATTTCCCAATTTTAGGGATCTCGCCCGACACCCAACCTCCGAAACCGCGAAGCATCACTCCGTCTTGAAATGCTGTCATAAACAGGTACGGCAGACTCCGGTAGACCCCGGAATGCCTTGAAGCCTCAAACCCTAGTATACTAATATATCACCTAAACCCTAAACCCAAAGCCCTAAGCCCAAAACCCTAAACCCCAAACCCTAAGCCCTAAAACCATACAGCACAAAGGGCCGAGGAAGCCTGTGGCTCAAGCGGCTTGGCACACCCTTTTCTGATCTCGCGCGCGCTGCTGCTTCACTGGCGCACGGGCCTTTCTGCTCTGAAGATGTCTACATGGGGCGTCATGGCTTTGCAGTCCTTTCAGGGCTCATTGAAGGGCTCAAGGATTCAGGACAAGTTGCTGATTCCTTTACAAACCCTAAAGTTATGTCACAATACCAACTAAAACCCTGCATGTGGGGGCTCTGGGAGGAGGTGCTCTTATCCGAAGATGTCGGCGCAGTGCATCATGCGCGGCCACCAGTGGTGAACGTGTGTAGGTCTCCCTGGTGGCAGTAACCTGGGGCTCTGGCATCCACATGCCGCGCCAGATTTACTAAACCCTAAAACCCAACCCTGAACCCGAAACCCCAGATCCCACACCGTGACGGATAGCATGTCCTGTCGCGCTTAGGCAGACTAGACTTTTTGAGGCTCGGGCATTCCGTTTAAGAAAGCAGAAAGCTCAGGAAAAGGCTGAAGAAACCCCAAGGCATCAGGGTTTCTCCCTTAAGGGGTTTAGGGTTTAGGGCTTCCTATCACGGTTGAGTATCCGTAAGACTCAGCCATGCACCAAAAACTGTAACACTACGCTCCGAAGACTGGTCCCAACCGCCCGCAACCATCATCCTCTGCTTTGGATGACAGTGGCAACATGAAGGACAAGAAGACCGCAAAGAGTCGTGATCGCGGTGATGATGGCAGAAGGAAACCGAAAGACACAGGCACACGTTTTTTGGGATCAGATCAAAATCGGTTGGAACATAGTGCAATGCTGTTGATGCTGCTGAAGAGGGGAGGCGACCAGGGTGATGGTGATAAAAGCAATGGTCAGGGAGATGGCGCTGGTGATGCTGAAACAAAGAGCATTCACGTCTGTACTAATATTACTGTTAAAGTGTCATTCAAAGCATTGCCTGATGACTACTTCAAACTGGAATCAAGAACGCATCAGCAGTGCAACAAGCTGATCAGGGCTTCAAGGTAGCTGGGGTCTACATAAAAGCGTTTGGGCAAAGAAGCTAGGAGTGTGGGATTAAAATTTCACGGCGATTGCGCTTTGCTTCGGGGAGTCGGAGCTGAAGGTTAGTTATAGATTTATGGGATTTAGGGATAAGGTCTCAGTGCTCAGGCTTTGGAATTTTAATGCTTTGGCACTATATCTCTGAGGATAACACGAGACTATAAGGATACCCAAAACAAAAAATCATCGTTTGAGTACAGCACCCGAAATGTCTGCCCAGCAGCCATCCACCTCCCAGGTCAGAACGTCGGCAGACGCGAGCACCTTAGCCGAGGCAAGAATCAAACTTGGCAACCCAAAGTTCTGTTGTCGGGGATTTTCACTCAGTTCAATATGGAGTTGACTTGTTCTTCCAGATTCCTTCAGGGTTTCGTTTAGAATTTAGTTCAGGGTCTTATTTGCGATTCAGGATTCAGGATTTGGGGGGTGAAGGACTCAGTGGTTACGATTCAGGCTTTCTGAGTGAATCTTCCGGCTCGGGGTTCTGTACGGGTTCGATGGTAGTCTAGGACCCTTCCAACTTTTCGACGCGAATTCCGGGGGAGTGTTAGAAGGGCCCTCAAGGTTTCTATACAGGTTCATCGGGGTTTGGGTTCAGGGAAATCCCACGTGGGTTGCGAATATTGGTGCTCCTGCGATGTTACTTCTATGATGACTGCTGCTTCGTGGCCTTTTTGTTCCTTGCTATTTAGGTGCGGGGGCGAGTAAGGATGTTCATCTTAGTCATAATATCAGGAATGCCTGACTTCTCTTACTATCGGGGTCTAATGCGCTGCCAATTGTATACTCTTCTCGTCCCTGTATAATCATGATTTAATCCCAAAATCCTGTTTAGAATTCTGAAGGCCCTATATTGTCAGCATTATCTTGATCGATGCTCTCATTTTCTGCTGTCTCGTCCCTGTATCCCACCCAGGTCGTCACAGGCACAATTCACAAGGAAATAGCAACTTTCCGACGTCTCTGCAGCAATTTTATGAAAATGCACGTCTGTGATATCATGATAGGACTGTGTCGTCGTGGCTGGCTAAGACAGTTGTTGTGGTATGACAATCTCGGTATCGTACTTACCCTGAAATAACTACCAAGACAAACAAAAGGTAGTATCACCAGCCGCCCTCATCAAAGGCCTTCAAAGCGGTGGTTCCGCAGCTGGCTATACAGAACCCTTCATCTCGGTCCCGGCACGCGATGCTTCATCGAGTACTGGTGGAGGGTTTCCGGCCCCATTGCCCCAAGGGCGACGATGGCGTTTCCTCGAATGCTCAAGGATATGAGGGGTTTGAGCACACTGCACCGTTTTGACAAGGGTTGAAAACATGCGCTCGGGGATTCACGTGTTTTGTGGAGTAGATATCAAGGTGTATGGAGCGGGAGGCTGAGACAATGTTCTAGCCCTTCTTGAAGCTCTAACCTCAGAACCCGGAGCTACAAAGCAACGCGAAATGCGAAGCTGGCTCTTTGTTTCTTCCGACCAGTCGCATTGCTCGTTTCAGTTGTCGACATCTCTATTCCATGCTGGGAGCGCGGCGGGTTTCCTAGCTTTTCTTCTGATGATGCGGCATATTTCTGGTGGGTTCACGTTACAGTGCCCTGAGCCCCGAATGGCCCCGAAGCCCATGACTCCACTTTTCCACCCTTTCCACCCAAGCCGTAAGCTCGGTGCACGAAATCCTTAGGATGCTCTCCGAGCTGCCAGTGAATCGGACGGTTTCAAGGTCGATAAGTCTGGTCGCACTTCGCTTCGCCCCCATCACCTCTGCGTGACGACCAATTTCAGTTGCATATGTGTACACACTCTGGATGTACACTCTTCAACAATGCGTGTGTATATAAACATATTTGTTTATTATACACACACAGATACACACACACACACACGTTACGTGTATGTGTGTGCAGACGTCATGTCCAAACTCCGAACTGCCATCCTACCGGTCCATCATAGAGCTGTGGGATGCTATTAGTGACCCCACTTACTTGCACGACCTTACAAGCCCCACACCACTTTTGGACTTTGGTGTCAAGGCAGCCCTAAGCCCTCAATACTGTATCCTGAATCCGAAATACTATAAACCCTGGCACCCAAACCCTATATGCTAAGCTCTAAACCCCCGAAACACTACATATAAGCCCTCTGTTTTATCCAACGGCTGCCGAGGCACACTTCGCTCCGACTTGACGCTGCCTGCGGAAATGGGCAAAGTCACTTGGGTGTAGGGTTTAGGGCTGCAGAGAAGGTCCATGACATGACATTTTTTTGGGTTTGAGGGTTTAGGATAGTTTTATGATACATAACATTACATTACACGACATTGCATTACATTGCACTACATTGGTTACATTATACTACATCACATTCCATTACATTACATTACCTTGCACTCTATGATAGTGTACTACAATATATGCGTTATACTATATTGCATAACCATCTTACATACAGTTACATGAAAGGCAGGTAGATAGATAGGTGGATGGATAGATGGGTGGCAGAGAGTGAGTGGATAAATAGATCGACAGCTAGATAGGAGACGATACCGTAACCGGTATCCCGCGGGCTGGGCGAAGCATCGAGCCCTTGATGTCGAAGGGTCTTCTGCTTTGCGTTGGGTTTGGGGCTTTCGACAAATTTAGGATATTTGAAGTTGTCACGGTCCACGGATCAGGCTAGGCCACGCAGGATTTATGGCTGGCTGAAGTGGAAGGAGCGCGAAAGCGCCTGGCCACAAAGTGAGGATGTGCACGCCATAGTTGCCTGCAAGGACAGAACCCAGATGTCAAAACTCGATATCTGCCGATTCGTTGAGCATGCCATCGCCTGACTTGTAGTTTCCAGGCACCCGGACCCATGGCCATGTGGCCAGAGTTTGCTAGGACCATGTCAAGACAACGAACCCGCTTGAACTGCAAGGACCGGTCTAAATGCTTGCGCCACTCCTCATATCCCTTTGGACGAAGGGACGGACACGTTCGGAGAGAGCCATCATTGATCGATCGAAGGTGGCTTTGTTACCTCACAGTGCAGCTGCATTTGCAATATGCAGTTCTAGTCCAGCTATTTTCAATGTAAAGGGCGTGTATAGTGAGTGAAGCGGGGTTGGGTTTAGGCTCCATGGAACACGGCGCAGGCTTCAGGGTGTCAAATATCTCTCTCTCGGCTTCTAAGGCACTCTACATACATACATACATACATACATACATACATACATACATACATACATACATACATACATACATATATATATGACCATATATATATATATATATATATACACGCATAGCCCGCGCACAAGCACACCCCCACAGACACACAAACACACACATACACTTCAAAAGCGGTATATTGCTTTTCAACTTGCTTGCATCAGCCCTTGCATCAGCCTTCTTTCTCTGATAGTTCACTGCTACGCGCTTCCTCAGCATGTGTAAGGCCAAGCACACTCCCAATCTCTCTGAGATCCTTCAGCTGGCCGTTCTATGGTGCCGGTACCACAAAACTCGAGGACTTGGCCCTGCTTCTCTGCAACAAATTTCGTTGAGGTTCGGGATTTCACTCTGCAGTTTGCTCATAGTGTTGCCACTCAGGGAGTAGGTCTCTCTTGCTCCAAGGTGCAGTAGTAGGAGAGCGGGAAGGGGAAGATATTCATCCTGAGCACGGGATGCAGCGAGTGAAGGAGGATGTCATGGCCTTCGAAACCGGGTCACACCCCACTGCACCCCACCCAGAAGCCCAAACCGTAACCCTAAACCTTAAAGCCCTAAAGCTCTGAACCCAAACCTTCAGTTGGTGGGGGCGAAGCTTTTGAAGAGACTGAGGAGGACAGGAGACTTGTCAGGAAGACCAGCTGGAAGCTGTGAACAACAGTCGGGATGTACCTGGGATCCCTTCGATTTTGGCTCAGGGTTGCGACAGGGTTTGGATTTAGAGTATGTACGATTTCGCTTTAGTTTTCGAACAGCTGGAGCAGTGGTGGTAATCTGCAGGGTACATGAAGGAGTCTGAGTTATTCGCCATGGACCGAAGAGGGGTCCTCGGCTTCTTTTTGCGACTTGAAGGATTCAGAACTGATAGTTTGGAGTCTGGTGCTTTTGCTCATGAGGCCCTGGCAGCAGGCATCGACAAAACATCCGCACACCTCTACTCCCTCAGTTCGTATGTAGCCACTTAACATCGCCAGGGGTCTGAGAGCCCCAGGAGGAGACGTTGATAACAACGCCACGACCACGGCGCAAGCATGGAAGAAGCCCCACGGTGAAGCCTGCCAAAACTTCTAATGTTCTTCGGGTCTTGGGTGTTTCCCAGAACTCCAAGGCTAAGCCACGCTGGAGGGCTGAGGGTTTCGGGCCGGGATTGTGCCGGGGATGCAGCATCATCTGACATGCATGGGCCCGGAAGAGCCAAAGTATGCGCTCTGAGCACAAACATCCCTGAACCTCTAAACCCAAAGCCCTAAACCCATTCGACCAGCCTATGTGGTTCAGTCCACCCACAGAGGTCTGCTCGTTCCTCGGACAAGCTGGCAACTGTCGGCTGCAGGACTCAGTCTTGCCATTTGAGTGCCGACACCTCCACGCGTGCCTGGAACCACTTCGTGAGTTGTATAAGTCTAGAGAGTTGTATACGTCTAGAATAGTTAACCTCACGATTCTTCGACTCGGGAGAACCCATCCCTTGCAAAAAGGTCTTGGGTCTAGGATTAGGGTTTAGGGCCTGGGGCCCTAAAGTTGAGGTTTTGGGGCCTGGGCGGTTGGGACCGCAAGGCTTTCCGTTGTTGGGCCAGGAGGGGAAAAATACTATCAAGAGCGAGACGCCAGTTTGTGAGTTGCTAGCTGCTGCTAGCTCAGGAAGTAACTACAGGGCGCCCTGACCCGGAAAGTAGACCAGTCGCAGAAATCGCATCGGCTGGTTCCAGATCGGCGTGCTGAAGAAAATCATGTCCGGCTTCGGGATGTAGAAAGCCTGATTGTCCGTGGCTTCTTGGGTTTCTGGTTCCTGGGGCTTTAGGTCTGCAAGGAATGAAACTGTGAAAGTCAAGATTTCAAGCCCAGGGGTTTGCGCTTCCAGAGTTGAGGGCTTTGGAAATTTACGATTTGATTCAGGCCTCTTCACGTACTTGTAGACTAAGCCGCGCATGCCATCGTATGCCATAGAACCCTGTGTTTAGTGATCTGCTTGCCGAGACGGCCTATGTCTATGACTCACCCAAATGTGTCCGAAAACCTGTGCTCTGCACATACTGCCACATGCAGGGGGAGGGCAATCCAGCAAGAGCACAAAGCTGAGAATATCCTGTTGCCCCCGCACGAGAAAGGAATTCCTGAAATGCAGCTTAAGCTGAGGGGCGCCTCAGAAAACATAGTCTAATGTCTTTTGGCAGTGGAAGAAACTTTGGGTCTTGCTCTCGCGCAGTTGCGGTTTCAGTGTGTTTTCCATGTTGCTCCATAAACTACAGAACGACGTTGGATTGTTTTTTTCCATTCTTTGCCGGGGTCCCATTGGCAGAATAAGTGGCAGTAGCACAAGCACAGGGACCAGTCACCGGAGCAGTGGGTGCAGTACTTGCAGTCGCAAACCGTATGTCATCATCGTCATCGTCGCTGTGGTCATGCTGCTGCTTCTGCTACGACAACAACGACGACGACTACTACTACAACTACGACGACGACTATTCCGACTGCTACGGCTACTGCTACGGCCAGTGCTGCTAATTATGCTACTGCTGCTACTTCTGCCCTCCTCCAGCTACCTCTTCTGCTCCACATAATCACTAGTTGCTCGCATCACCACCACCACTACCAAACACAAGTCCATTCTCTGAGCCATTGGCACTGTTGACACAAAGGTCGCAGCGTCCGTGGGTTTCAGAAATCATCTTCACCTAGGGCTTAGGGCTTAATATATGGGCCTAATAATTACCTATACTATTTTGGGGTTCCCGATTATAAACATAGTAGAATATACCTCAAAACCCTATTCTTATGACTAAGGCCTCTACATTAAGGTTTAGGGCTTAGGGTTTAGGTTTTAGGGCTTTGCGCGTCTTGGGCGTAGGGCCCAGGGTCCTCCAAGGTGAGAGCCCTTGGCCACAGCTCCGAGCCTCGAGCCTCTCAGATCCCAAGTTGCAAGAGTTGATATGATTACTATTATTGTTATTGTGAGTATGATGATGAGGATGACTACTATCATTTTTATTATGGTCAACATTCTTGCTATTATTGCTATCATTCCTAGCCAACATAAAAAAACATGGAATCGTTGGAGAGTCACGGCCACGGCCTGCAGCGAAGGGCTCGGTGGTTCAGGAAACTTGTGCCCTTCTTATAGCTAAGACTATTGGCTTCAGCAGAAACGACGGTTCGGGAATTGTCGGCTCGGACTCTACAGGAATTGGGATGCTGTTGGCCCTACCTTGATTTGACTTTTGACAGCCTCAGACTCCAATCTGATTTGTTACCCGGAAATACTCTTATCCTGGGTTAAAGGGTCTTAAAACCTCGGAGCCTCGAGTGCGAATCCGCAAGCAGAAGTTCATCCCGGCCGCTTGTCACAGTCTCAAGACCCTGGACACGACTGCCCCACTTTGCCGAGAAAGGCCACCAGCTTAGACAAGACACCAGCGCTGCGTTCTGCGTGTCTTGTGCGTGGTCCACGTGCACCGCTACCTTTCAGGGGAGATGAGAACCAGTCATATGGCAGCTTAGAGCCAGACCTTTGAAGAGCACATAGTCTCATGCATAACTGCGTCAACTGTGCAGTTGAAGAAGATCAATATTATACAACATAGACTTTGTACCGGTGTACATTTTGCACACATCATAGCCTTCCCAACTACCTGAATGCATGCCTGCCTGCCTACTGACTGGCCTACGGAACTGACCTGCCTGACCTACTTCCTCCCGACTTCCTCCCGAGCTACCAATCTTACCTGCCTACCTACCCTAAGTACTAACATACATAAGCAGAAAAGAGATCAACTCGCTACATTTCGTAACAAACTAAAATGTGCTTTTGCATGCATGCATGTTCATGCTTGTTCCTTCGTGTGTGTATATAGTCTGTATATACACTCGTGTGGTTCTGAAGGCATTGGGTAGCCTCATCCGCTGAACTGGGAGCGCAGCCAAGTGTCGCCAGTGCCGCCCAGCTTGCCGAATGTCGAGGCAGTTTCATCCACGGTGCCCATGAGGATGACATCGGTCTCCTCTGGTCAACGTGCTTTTGACATCCGAGTCTTGGCATGTGAGTCGATTTTCTGACAATTGCACATACAACACATGCTATTTGCAGACGCGGATATGAAGCCTGTCAAGCTGGTGCATAGGCCCATATGTGCTTTCAGAAGAGCATTCGTTGACACTAACAACAAGGGTGGCTGATGGAAAAGGTTTGGGGCAGTGCAGGCTCGCCCGCCAGCTCCTTTCCGGGTGCGGATCTTCCGGTCACATAGACGATGGCCCCTGCCTCCGCAAGCGTTAAGGCCGCTCCAAGACCCCGATCTAGGTGGCATTGCTGCCGTCGAGACTACTGCCTCTGCGAGTTTTCCCTGAGGAGACGAGCAGTAGCAGTCGTCGTCGTCGTCGTCACAGCGCAGTAGTAGCAGTAGTAGTAGTCGTCGTTGTTGTTGTGGTGGTGGTGGTCGTAGACAAGGTTGTGGTTGTAGGTAGCAGTCGGCGGCGTCGTCGTCACAGAAGGAGCAGCGGTGGCAGCAGCAGCAGCAGCAGCAGCAGCAACAACAACAGCATCTGCTGCACAAGGAATAGATTGGAGCCGCGACTCTTGCGGATTCTATTTCTGTCGTTGTGTGTGATAACGGTCTGATAACGAGGACAGCCACCCATTAAGAACACTGCTGCTGCTCACTACTATGACGCCAGGTTCCATACATGCTGCTGCTGTTGCTGTTGCCACTCTTGCTGCCGGCTGCTCAGGCCGCTCTTGCTAAGCAAACCAGCCAGTAATTGTGAAAGACAGGACAGTAGTAGACATGGAATAAGTCCAAGCCAGCAGCTAGTAGTTGTGATAGACTCTGATAAACAGGACAATAACAAGAGTAATGAACTCTGTAGTGGTCTTCGTACCGCCGTAGAAGATGAAACACAGGTAGCCACAGTAGCTTCGACAACACGGAAATAACAACAAAAAACTAAGACCGACAATCCAACAAGGATCAGTAATAATACAACACACAACAGTGCAGCAGACGTCGCTATCTTCGTGCATTTTGGTGGGGATCAATAGAAGTGTGTGCAAGCATTGTTCGCCGCCCCTAGTGCTGGAACAGGATACACTGCAATCAGGAAATCTCGATTTTGACATGTCGGCTCCCAAAACAAGCACATCTTCCGCATGATGAGGGCAAGGCCCCCTTAATTGATCGGGCTTCAGTCCGCAAATCGACTCTAAAGAAGCAAAGACGCTCGGGCCTTGACAGAGTGGGATCTTCATTTTTTTGCTCAAGGGCAGTTCCGGATGACTCTTTTTGCAAGAACGGTCGAAGGAGCTGAACGTCGTGGTCTGCACTACTTTCCGTCACGGGTGCTGGGATGGTGTCGTATAGGACATGTCTCAGCGAGTTGGCACATGAGGCTTCGTAGAGTTAGTGTGCTCCGTCTCCGCCTCTGCCAAGCTCTGGGCGATACCTTCCAGGTTTAAGCTTCAGGTACGAGAACGGTACTACAATGACAAGGGTGGGATCTAGCCGCGAGTCTGGGATTTTGGTGGTTTCGGGTCCGTCTTGACTGGAAGAGGACGTGGACATTCCAAAGCCTTGTGCCCCTATACCCCCAACCTACACTAACTTTGTGTGTTGCACTCGGATGATAGTTCTCTCCATAGATGGGTCACCTTATAAGATACAGTGCCTATTGAGACGCGAGTTTCGAAGAAGAAAGCCTGAAGTGATCCGATGCTTGGAGCAGTAGCCGCAAGACCAACTCGGAACTGGCTTGATAATGTAGGGGCCTTGCTAATTGTAGACTATAGGGCTTTCGAGTATAGTCTAATATATTTATATAGGGACTCCAAGGTGAGCTTAGTATTGTTTATTCCGACCTATCAGGTCTCGTCATCCTTCGGTTGTTACGAAGCCGGCAACTCCCTCCCCGTGCGGGAAGAGAGCACAAACACGAGGTACTGAGAAGCACCATAATCATCACCGAACCGGCTTTTCAAGAACTACACCTCGTCACCACGTCTTTTTGCAGAATCAGGCGCACTACCTCTCCAACCCTCAACCTGCAGTTGTCGGGATCTATATAAGATAGCAGGTTCTCCCAAAATAGGCCGGCCAAAAACAAAAAAACAATGCCTATGCCTACAACGAAATCCTCAAAGAAATCCTGGGCGTGCACCAAGTATTCCCTGAGACCGTGGCCTTTTCCGATACCTCGGGAGGCACCAGTGACCACCGCCACTTGCCCCGACAATTTCTTCGACTCCTGGCACAGCGATTGACACTAGAAACAGGCGAGACAAACAGCGGGCGCAAAACTGATGATGCCGTGATGATGATCCCCAAGATAGCAACTATCGTCGCCATCATCGTCCTCGGTGCTTGTCCTCCTCCTCCTTCTCCTACTGCTACTACTACTCCTGCTGCTGCTGCTGCTGCTGCTGCTGCTGCTGCTGCTACTGCTACTACGGCGACGACGACGACTAACCACTACTTGCTACGACTACCACCGCCACCGCTACTGCTACCACCACCACTACTACCACCACTACTACCACTACCACTACCACTACCACTACCACTACTACCACTACTACTACCACCTACTACTACTACTGCTACTACCACCACTACAACTATTACTAGTACTACGACTGCT